AATGGGACGAAGAGGATAGAGAGCCTACATTTAATGAACTGACTGAGTTTATTTCATCCCGTGCAAGGATAGCTAGTAGTAGATTTGGATGATTAGCTAATCGCCCAGAAACAGGGCATGATATGAAAGCGACTAGTCATCTGTGTGCGGGACATGGGAATCCTTCGAATGTGTTTGCACCTACCTCACGCCCGGAACTTAGCAAGGTATAGCCTCCTGAAGACCGAACATGTAAGCCTTATGGTGTAAGGTCTTTTGACGTCTATCCCATTGAGAAGTCAGTATCTGTAGAAGATAAGGTGGCTTTTTTGAGGATGGTGAAGAAGGAAAAAGGCAGAAAGGTTGAGCATCAAGACGGATCCGAAGTATGTGATGGTAGAAGTTTCCTAACTACTCGAAATACAAGGAATGGTAATTTGGATTCGAGCAAACAGAGGTTAATGGGTACAGTGAATATAAATAAGGACGAAACAGGAAAGGTACAGGTACATAGTGAGCTTGATAGGTCAAATCTATATTGGAGGGCAGGTAGGCGTACTGTTGTAAGCCCTACTCGTTCTTTTGGTGTGGATTAGGTTATGAGAGTGAACCATGATCTGAGGCGTATAAAGGGCTTTGCTTTGTATGGAGGGGTTTTGCGAGGCGGTGTAGAATCCATTTTGAAGGCTTTGTTTTGGGAAAATCCCTCCATGTACATATTTGTAATATGTTCTTACTGACTCTTTCTGTGCTACATTTTGCTGGTCTGTTTAATCCCACTTTGGGATATTAATATATGTATTTTGTTATGGTTTCTATTTCGCACCTTCATTCGAGTTTCTATGTTTCCTTCTGAACTGTATTATGTTGTTTAAACTGATACTTAATTATGGCTTCAGCCATATCAGAATTGATACCTTGACAGGTAGAACGTGCATCTGGACTGGAAGGGTGCAATTTTATACCTATACGGAAGCATTCTTCTAGAATTGAAAACACACTGTGTTATTTTTGACGAAGAACAGTGTAATGTTGTTCAGGTAATTTTCTGTATGATTTGATTAATAATAGAATCGTTGTTTACCCAGATAAGTTGCTTTCTTGTTGGGATACTTGGAAAGGCGCGCATCTAAACTTCTAGAACTGTTTTTCCGAATTCAGAAACCATTCAAAACCCTAACAGTTAGTAGGCTATAGCTGAGTGGACGTTAGAGGGTGAACCTCCATTGAGGATGTACGTCGTTTGTGTCACATTGAGCAGAAAATTCATGACGTGACATTACGATTGGTTTATTTTCAAACCTTTGTCTACCACCAGTCCCTTAGTGGATCCTCCTCGCTTCTTATGAACCTCCAGATCTTTGCATCGTCTGCAAAGGTCAATGCCACTGGGATAATTTTGTGTGACAGATCATTAATGAATAACAGGGAGAGGAGTGGACCTAGGATAGTCCTTCTTGAAACTTCCGATGTTGCGACGCAGAAGCTCGCTTGCACTATATTTATCTTGGTGCAAAACGTTCTATTCTAAAGGTTGTTTCTGAGTCAAGAACGAATATATGAACCGGTATTTTTCAGCCGCTGCAGTTTTTTCAACTGTCCCATTATATGAGACGATTGGATGAGCATGACCTACCCTTCCGGAACCCGTGTTGAGCATCATGGACGATTTTGTTCTTATTCAAGCACTCCCTCATTCGCTCGTTCACCAGATCGTCAATTATCTTTGACAGTGTTTGTAGTAATGTGAATAGTCTTTAACAGGTTGGATACTTCCTATCTTCTCTCCTGAAGATTGGAGAGAGTAGATTGTTTCCAGGAACCTCGGTTTTCTTAGTATTAGTCCAGGAGTAAGTCGGATATTCCTTTTGCTGTCAGCTTGCACTAGGCCTGAGTAGTGCTCTGAATGTGTAGACACTTGGTTTAACTAATCGGCGAAATTGGTGTCAAAGATATTAGCTATTTCTAGGTTGATAAGATCGTCACCATTCGGACATTTGATGGCACAACCACCCTGGTCCGTAGGTTTTCTTTTAGTCATGAACCTATGGAGAATTTTTGGTTTTACCTGTATTTTGGTAGTAAACTTCGACTGGAAGTGTCTCATATCACTTTCAACCTTGGCATCGCATGTTTCTTAACGCCAAGTAAACACTATCGCGAAAATCCACTAGAGGGATCTTCCACATTTGCCAGACTTTCCATTTCGCATTTAGCTAGAGTTCAGTGCCTCGCTTAACCCGAGTTATTCTCTTACGCGGTGTATGATATGCCTGAGGTACATTTTTTAATACAGCATTCCGGATGACATCACTCACTGTTCGCCGGTGATTATTTACTGTTAGCCCCCACCATTTCTTTGGCCATGGGGCATGTAGGTGATTCGCTCTCATGCACGGGTAATTCAACCTACTGTAGCAGAGGAAGGGCTCGTTTTTGTCCAGCCCAAGTGTTTCGTTAATGACCATGGTAAACATGACTGTGCCATGGTCACTAACTGCTATTGGTGTACGGATATGAACATCCTCGACCAGGAGCTCATCGTTTGTCCACGAAGAATCCAAGTCTAGGGATTTTTAATCCTTACTCCATTTAGTGGCGCTACATAGATGTTCAGTAAGCACAGAACTATTTGATTAATGTACAAAATATTTAAACGACATTTATTTAATTGTATAAATACGCATGTTTGATTGTATATTTTTGATTCGGTTAATAAGCCTTCTCCAACGTCTTCCGTCTTCTTATTTCTGAACGGAGGGGTCTAACGTCCGGTGTGTCATTAGTACAGTGGTTTGGCGTTACATCAAGTAGAAAACATAAAGGTTACATCAGTTGATTGAGTTCCGTATAGACTTCTGACCACTCCGCTTCCTGTCCGGTGTACCTTATCGTGTTGGAAGTGTGTCATACCTCGCAAGTTTACTTCATCGTCTGAAATGTCAGGGGAGAGCCATGTTTCAGTTAGTATTTTGATCTTCAGATCCATCTGAGATTACATATTTTTGATTTATAGAAGTTTAGCCCTTATTTCTCTTACGCTGCTATAGAGGCACTCAGTGGTTTGTCCCATTACCTGGTGCACCTCTGCATTAGGTTGTTCGAACAGATTTGGCCAGTTTTGTGGAAACTGGCTCCTGTAGGTCTATGCTTGTTTAGTGCACTCAGTTGACGAGACCATGATCTTCGTGTCTTGTGCCTTGGGTTGTTGGTCGAGGATAACTGTCATTACTGTGCGCTTATTTAGATCTCGCTGTTGTTGTCTCACTGATTTGAAACGGCTCTCGCAACATTAAATGCTATTGAAAAGATCGTTCTTCATATTGTACTAGGCCTGAAGCGCCCCAGTTAAGTCTTCCCGATTTCCGAAGTCCACAGCGGTCAAATGTGGAGACCTAGTAATCTTAAGGCGTTATGTACAAGGCAGCCGCGAAATGCTAATTGCCATGGTGGTGTGAAAGCCCAGGCTACGTGATAGCCATTGCCACTGTTGTATGTCATGTGCGTGAGCATCATCCAAGCTACCAGTAACCAGCTCAGGCACTTTGTGAACTACCATATTGGTATGATATCGGGTACATTTTGATGTCCTGACTGCTGCTGGTACTGACCACGGTCTGTCGTGCTTGAATTCAATTAAAGAGGACAGTATAACCGAAGGTCTCTACGGTGTGAGGAGGATTTATTCGTCAACTTGTGCCAAGTCTGAGTTACCTTCAGCGGAGGGGGTTTCCCTTTAGTGACGTTCTTACCCTTGCAAAGGCTCACAGTTTGGCAGGGATAATGCTTATTACAAGTACTTGTCCAACTGTTCTTTATCAAAGGCAGTTCTACTTTCCAGTAAGCTACCTTCCGACATTGATACGTTAAATTAAACTAACGTATTATGTTTAACGTACCTGATCGTGATTTGTAGCGTTTTTCGAGCTTTCTAGTTGCCGCTTGTCTTTCTTACACTCACCCACTTCTCTGTTATAGAGAGTTTGCAATAACCGACACTTTCGTGAGTATATTTGGTTCGGGTTATGGCTACCTTTGTCTCTTGTTTGATCGGTTAGGTGCTGGACGAATTCGGCTTATGTCTAGGGATTCGTAGGTACATTTTAGCTGTGGTCTGAGCTTTTATAGTGCTAATTTTTTGTCTTAGAGATTACATAATGAGCCTGATGATACCATAACCACCATCAGGGGTGACTCGACATGAACCAAAACTACTGTCTAGATACTGCAGTGTGATAGGAGTGACTAAATGCCCCAACTTAGTATCGAAAAGGTGGGAGATCAACGAGGAAACATCAAAGAAATAGAATGTTTGGTGAACCACCATTCTATTCGTTTACTTACCATTTGCATTGTTCATCGATAGATTTTATTCTCGAAGTATGCAGAGATATGATTAGTTGTTGTGCCGATCGGATTATATTTCTTGATAAGTCATAATCCTTCGAAAATTAATAACATCCTCAGCATACACAGTATTACACCATTTACGTGTTAAGAAGTAGCAAATGATTGAATGGTAGTTGTTGTAACAATCACAGTTCCAGTATTTGGTCTGAACGCAGAGATAACGATCCAAAGTTTATTCAGTTAGACCAAATTACATTCTGTATGGTGTGTGAAGCCTTTTTGAGTGACTTGTATTAAATTATATCAAAATACAAACCCTGTGCTCAATTTATTTAATTATAATTGAAGAATAAAACCAATTACATCAAAATCACAAAATACCTCAAACAGTCCAGCCTGTGCTATAGGATCAGAGGTTGTTTTAGAACAAAATAACCCACTAAACAGCAAAAGGAATGGTTCATAAAAAAGTGTCCGGTACCTGAGGATTAATAAGAGTACTTCCCACAAGAGTAGATCGAGCAAGCATATGCGAACGGTAGCATAATGTGTTGGACCTTCATATTGTTCGGAAAAGTCATTTATTTCTGCCCCACTTTCTATGTGATTTATCCCCTTGTTGCGAAAATCTAAGTTATCTAGTTATGTATGTCCAAACAGAGTTCCTGCGTGTTTTTCTAGACCAGGATGAAACCTAATGGCATGGCTACGCGAAGCCGGAATATTCAAATATGGGCCTCGATTATTATCAATTGCTAGATATACCCCGAAGTGCAGACCATGCAGATATATGCAAGGCGTAAGCAATAATTATCCTCTTCAGTTATATTGTACTCATTTTTACATCTTGAAACCGGTCAGCTTTTACATTGATTTATCTGTATCTACATGAATATTCTGGCTGTTTTGTTATAGATGTACTAATTATATCGTATACTTATAAATGAAGACACCTATAAACGAATGAGCGCTTAAACGTTTGTCGCCAAAAGCTTCATTTAATTCAGCTTTTGATTTCCTTAACTGTACGTACTTATTAAGACATTTTCAGCTCAATTTGAAAACACTACATGATATTAGCGCCTTCTCTGTTATTCGTCACTTAACTATGAAGGATAGTTTATAAACAGAGCGAACATGAACAACAGCCTACGGTAGATTTTAGAAATGTCTTAATGTTAGAGGAATTAAACAACTTGCTTTTCGACTGAAATCTAACATATGTTTTTTAATGCTTTTTTAAATAAAGTTACCGAAGACTTGCTTTGCACTACCACCCTTGCCGTGCTCAACCTGGAGAAGATTTCCATGAATGCTTTCTAGCTATTTCAGAGGCTTACGATGTCCTGTCAGACTTAAAAAAGAAGGCAATCTATGACCGATTTGGAGAAGAAGGTTTGAAAGGTGGTGTACCAGTTGATTCGGAATGGACAAAGCCTTATGTATATCATGGAGATGCACACAAAACTTTTATTTCTTTTTTCGGAACAGATAATCCCTTCAGCGGTAAGTTTTTCAGTTTATTTACCATCCTTTTGACAATTAGGACTTCAGGAAGAAATGGACTCACAGGTTGAACATAATTTCGGAGGTTCTCATGGTCGTGGTTTTCCTCATCAAGACCCACCAATTGAACGTGAACTGTTTCTAACACTTGAAGAAGTATACAATGGGTGTACTAAAAAGATGAAAGTTTCTCGCCGAGTAAGAAAAGTGCCACTGGAAGTTTTGTATCATTTATTAGGTTTCTGATTGAAATGAAATTTCCCTTTCAAATATTGTAAGAAACAGACATTTCACAAGTTAGCAATAGTCAGATAACTTGTAGAGGTTGAAAAGAACTATTTAAACAGTTCGTTTAGTTTCAAATCTCGCCAGCTAAACTAGATCTCTGCTCTTAATCGGTCACTTACGCCTCTGAATCTTCAGTGAATCATGAGTAACATAGAAGCTGATGTAAATGTGTATTGGTTCAGAGCACAATACCACATTATCAGAGATAAAATTCTTAGGATAGATCCAAGAGCATTATGCGTAATAATGGATTACTTGGTGCTTCACTTGTACTACATCAGTTTACTCTTGGTTACATTCGAAACATCTTTAGCTGATTGCTGTGAAATAAAAGAAAGAAAAGCTTTGATACTTCATGTTTGTCAATAATTATATTTGTTTTGGCAAGCATGCCATTTTTGTTCGGCTTTGTTTTGGAATGAGAGTACTTTTACCTTCACGTGTCATTTGTATATCTGCAACTATGGGCATCAGTAGTTCCTTGGTTGAGGCGTTTTACGAGTTTGGTAAAAACAGACTTTATAAGACAGTCTTTTAGATTTACAGTTAGATTTTCATCATTGTTGAAAAATTAATGTATGAAACTTTATTCCTTTAAAGATAATGAATGAAGATGGGCACACAAGCAGTATCAAGGATAAAATCCTTTCACTGACTGTTTTTCCTGGATGGTATGAAGGCACTCGTATTACATTCCCCAAAGAAGGTGATCAAGGTCCAAATACAATTCCAGGTAAAGATTTTACCTCTGACCACATTTTTGCAATTAATCTACTGTTTTATGTATTTTAATCCGCTAATTATTTATGACCTGTTTTAAGAATTGTAGTGTTGTGTTTAATAATACCATCATGCCTGACGGTGTTTGTAAAATCCCTTGGTATATGTTAATTTTCCATAGTCAATGAATTCACTGACGTAACATCTGTGTCTGTTAAAGTGCAAGAGTCAGTAAACTGAATATTTTGCACATTTTCCTTCAAGTTAACTTACAATACTTCTTAAACATCAACACAATGTTGGATTCAAAGTAACAATTTTTAATTCAAGTTGTCACATTTGTTACGAGTACAGAAAAAATTTTAATTCAGAGGAAGAACGTAGATGAAGGTGATAATGACGTTAATAGTAGAAAGCTAAGCGTAACAAATGAACCTCAAAATGACTGAAGTGGAAGACCAGTCCTGAATCGTCATTTTTCGAGAAAAGTATTTAGCATCTTCAAATGTTGACACTCTGTCATTTTCATATTTTTATTTGATGAAAGACTTTAGATTAGAGGTCGATACATGGAACTTCATATTATGAACTTGTAAATAACAAATGTTTGGAACTAGTAAGTCTAAAAAAGTATGATCTGAGAGATGAAACTTCGTTCGGATTGCTACTAGTATATTCTAATCTAAGCGCCTTACATTATTCAAATTATCCTTACAAGGAATTTCTGTAAATTTCACGCTTTTTTAGCGAACGTTATATCTAATAGTGCTTGTCGATCCTCTGTAGATTAATAGAAAATATTTCTCGACCTAAGATATTTGAAGTTCATTCAAACTTATCTATAAAAATTTACAAAACTGGTGCTAATATTTTGTTTTCACTTTAAAACAAAGGTATTTAATAGTTATTTTTGTAGTTCAGGCAAATCAAATGAGATATAACGCAGAGTTTGTTGTGTGTATTTTTTGAGGTCATTTTCAGCCGTGATTAGCTTCACTTTCAGCATGTTTAAAGGTCTCTTGTCTATAAAGTAAACTTCGGTTATTGAAAGTAAGCAAGTCTTCTAAAAATGGATCATCTTTTCCTTATAGCTTCTTGAGTTGTAGAAACACTGAAGAAGTTTACGTTATTTTTTCTCTATTCCTTTCATAGCTGATATTGTGTTTATCTTACGTGATCATCCGCATAAACATTTTAAACGTGAAGGAACTGACTTAATATTTACTTCAGCAGTACCATTGGGCCAAGCTTTATTGGGTTGTATTGTAGACGTGCATACATTGGATGGAAGATTGTTACACGTTCCTATCACAGAAATCATTCAGTAAGTTAAATGTAATTCACTTTTATTACTTTTCCTACTATTTATTTTACAAAAGCTAATTGTTTCTGGCGTTCAAAGCACTCTTTTTTTTCTATGATTATTATCGCATGACAGTTAACTTTGTCAGAAGAGGAAACTGAACTCAGTAATTTATTTATAATTGTTAGTTAAACCAGCTAATTTGGTCTCGTCGTAAGTTGTATACATAAATCGACGATCGGGTCAGTTTTAGATTTATTGCTCGTGTATAGTTATGCCTTCAATTATATTCTTTTCTTTTTCCTTGAGCCAAGTTCTATCAGTATTTGTTCATTTCAGCTCAACTATACTATTTTGTTAGTTATACCTAATTATAAATGTTCTACATTGAATTAACGAACGATATCAATGAAATGATTTTGAGGAGTTTAAACAAAACAGAATTTTCAATCTGATGTTCATTAGAAAAGGGAAAGTCAAATTTTAACATTTTATTAAGAACTCTGTAAGGATTTTAGTAAGAAAAAATCAAAAATACCTACATTTAATTTAGTACTTAGTGTTGAAATAAATTTCCCACTTATCTACGTACCAGAATTATAACACTATTGTAATTTCTATCATGGATGAGCTATAATAAGATAATTACTCAGGTTCGCCAAGCAAGGAACAACTGTCTTGTCCAAGTGTGAGACTTCCTCAACAGTATTCATACATAACTCTATTTAGGTCGAACCAAGAACCACTAAACCTTGCGGCGAGCGCCCAAATTATGTACTACTAAGCTTACATTTCATTTCTCATATTTGCAACTGCAGTTGGTTCGCAATATTGTATAGTCATAATCTGTAGTCACTGATGATATTCTTTTCATTACTGGACCAGACTCCACTTATCATGGCTTCTCACTAGAAGCAATATAGTATTCGTAATTTTTGTATCAATTTCATGATAAGTGGCATTGGTTAGACATAGTTCAGTACAAAATAAATGTAGTCTCATATGAATCTTACTTGTTAAGCAGTAGTTTAGCCGGATAAATAGCCTTTTTTGTTATTTTGTGGTTTATAAGACCAGATATTATTTTTAAACAAGAAATATTCGATAATACCATTATCTCTTCACCTAATGCATATGTTGAGTAAACTAGTCTTTAGTTTTTTCATCTTACTATACATAGTTGAGCATGCAGACTAGTTCAACATCGCAATCATAATTTTAAATGAATAACAAGTAATTCGGGCAAAAATGGGTTCGAACCCTAATTTTTTTAACTGGTGAAATTCAGTTTTAAGGTCGAAAATTGTAATTTCTGCACTTTAAGTCATTAATTATAAAATGTTTCAAAAAAATAGTAGAATATATTGAAATTTCTGTAGCTGAATAGGTTTTAAGTAATTATTCTTCGTGTACACAAGTAATTCATCCTTTTCACGTGAAAACTTTTGAAAATCAATTCAATTTAATTCAGGTTTACTCTTCACGTACTAAAAATAATTTCCAACATATTAAAGTTATTGAAAATGGTCATCATAAACTTTCAAAAATATATAATTCAAAGCATGTATTTTCAACAAAAGAAGTATTATTCGTATGTTTGTTCTCTTATTACTTAATGTCTGGTCTCGATAGTTTGACTTAAACTCATATTCGAGGGTTATGCTCCTGGAGACTGCAAATGTTGGATAACAGAGTTATCCCAAGTTATACATTTCGAAGTAGTTTTGGTCTGAAATCGATACCATTTAAAGACTTCGAAATGTGTGTTAGGATACTGCTCTACTTAGATTTCGGCAATGTCAAATGCGTTCACCTGAATGTTGTGCCATATCAAGTAAATTCTAATCTTTGGTTTCCAATCAAACGACTCAGTAATATTATGTTCACGACAGTAGATGATACTTTTGGCTTAGACCCAGTAAGAGCTATAAGGATCATGTTACTACAGGATCTAAAATTACGATCCTTTTGTAGTATTCCCTAGTTTCCAGTTTTTCTGTAACTCACACCAGTTGGTGACTCAAATAATGGACTTTATTAGCTCAAAATTAAATTGTTCATTTTATAGAACTCAATAACACTTTTACTGATCTACTGCACTCATAAATTTTACTATCTCTGAAAAATTTGGTTCTTATAGTCCCGATTATGAAAAAGTTGTGCCATGTGAAGGTATGCCACTACCTGATAATCCAGAAAAGAAAGGCGACTTACGAATTCGATTCAATATTCAATTTCCTAAAAAATTAAGTGGCGATCAAAAGTTGCTTATTGAACGAGCATTTTTTGGATAATTGCCTTTTTCTTGAACAATACTATTTTTATCATTTTGAAATCATAGTAGACACTTATGGATATAAATATATATAGAGAGCAATAATCAGAATTTTTATTTTTTTTCAAAATTTTATCTCTTGAATAATAGTGTTTGTATACATCTGTGTTATAAAGAATTATGAACACTTGTAGTTTTCTCAATTATGCTGATAATAAACATCTTTTTAATGAGCAAATTAAAATGTTATTCTACTTCATTTTTTAACAACATATCATTTTGGTGCGATGTTTAAAATGTTGTTTATTGAAAAGAACGGCGCTTAAGCATAAAAGCTTCAGATTTTGAGTTATTTATTTGCCTTGCAACAGTTCAAGTAAAGCTCATGAATATGATTAAAAATGCACACTTAAAAGAATTATGGTATCGAAAGTAGTATGAAAACCTAGTTCACTTTAGCTGTCTGAGACTGTGTATATTATGTTTTGTAAAATGGTCAGTCGTTAAATAAAAGTTCTGCATTTCTCGGTTTCTAGATAAATGTTAACAGATTGAATAAAAGATACACCACGGTATAAAGTTTTTCAGGTCATATAAATCAAATTTTTCTATTGCTATTAGAAGCTTTTTTGAAGAAAATGTCATAGAGTAGCCTTATTTTAATTGAGGTGTGTTCTTGCTATGAATATTATACTTTATGAACTTTGAAATCGATCGGTACACAGGAGAATTGTTCTAATGAAAGGCCTAATTATAGACTCATATCAGCTAGAGAACGATCGGAAATTGCAGTAGTTTTAAACTCTGAGGATTGAAGTACTTCGCCTCATATGTCACTGTTTAATCACTTATTTAGGATTCAAAAGTTTTCTCTACTTGACAAAACACTCAATGATTGACGATTGCACGACAAAGCAAGCTGGAAAATTAACTGGTCAGTACTAATATGATCATTCTGTAACCCTAATAACTCGTATTTTATCCCTCTCTGGACACGAAGGTACTTTTATTCAGTAATTTAAGAGCTAGGAAGAAACAGCTGTCAATTAGCCATTGATTTTATAAATTATGAGCTTCGGACAAAAGCACGTCCACAAAAGTTAGATATATGCAAAATGAGGTTGACTACTTGTGAGTAGTATGAGTGGTCAATATAATTTTCAATCGTTAGGAGGGTTTGGAAATCTCGTGTGAATTGTTGGATCTTAATATATTCACGTAATGATTAGTGAGGTTTTCATCTGTAATGAGGGATCTATATTAGCCTAGGAATATAGATTACTGATATTCATCATTAGGTAAACTGAACAGTCGCACTGTGACTTCAGTTGACTGGAAACGAATCTGTTTTACATAACTTATCTGTTTCCGAAACGTTCGCCGTTGGTGAAATATCTACTTGTTACGGCCTTGATGTCTGTCTACTAATCTGTGCTGAATATATATATCGTGAAAATTGCCTCGATCTAGTTTACGTCTTTGACGCGCCAGGCTACTTAGTCGAACCTTGAGACTTGCAAAGCTTGAGTTTGGACATGACAAATATAAGGGCTATCTTATAACTGGCCTGTTATCTGATAGGTTAGCGACCAGAGAGAGAGAGGAAAAGACGATATAGCTGGCATGACTATCGAAGTCTTTACTGATTCTCTATTGTATTTGATTTGATAGGTTTCAAACATCAATACAGAGTAAAATACTAACCACATACCAATACTATTAGGAAATTGTAATAACAGTATAACTGTCTTAACTGGGAGAGAACCGAGTAGTAGATCCGAAGTAAATTAACTTAAAAAACCATTACATATGAAAACAGCTTATGCACACCAAGAAAGCGGACAAAAATTTAAATATTTAATGATTAAAAAACAAAAATAGTGACGCTAACTTTGGGTAGCACAGTTTCGAAAGTTCAACCTCTTTATTACCACTACTCTTTAAACGTCTTTTCATTTGGACATTACATGTTTCTAGGTTTTCACTTATAACAGCATGAGCATGAGTATACAACTATTCACGCTGAACAACTGCATTTTAACCTTATATAATAAATTTCGAAACATGAAAAAAATCATGTACGGTTTCAGTCCTAAAAACAAGGTCAGCAGATTTTCAATTCTTCAGTGGTAAATATTAACAAACCATGTTCACGCTATGTAGTTCAAAAAGTCATGTCATTCTCATTATTTGAACGATTTAATAAAAATCTGATCACAAAAAATCGATTCATCACGTAAAAATCATTTATACAAATCTTCAAAGATAGAGTTAACAGTCATATCATTCGTTGACTGAGTGATAATACTCTTAATTAAAAATCTATGCATGTAATAGATCAGTTGCTGTGGTTTAAGTCATTTGTAGTATTGGTGAAATGTCCAATCGAGGTAGAAGTGATGACAATTTACTTACGATAACGATATCCGAATCCCAACAGAATAGATTTCAAGGAGAGAACAATTAGTCAATTAATAAGTAAGAGATCAAAGTTACTATTTATACAATGAGATCTAAAAAAATATATTATTGGTGTACCTTGTAACTGAACGTCCAGAAACCTGCTTTGTTGTCCCAAGAAGTCTACCATTGTACCCAAACAGAAAAGCAAAGGACTGGGGAAATCTTTATTTATTTTATTTGTGGTATCGTGTGACCTTGAAGCTGACAACAAAATGACTATCTACACAATCAGAATAATGGGAATGTGTCCCGCCGTTTTCTAGAATTCTTTTTAAAATTTCTAAAGAATACTGACCGATAGAGATCTGCATGGAGTTATCGACCGCTCCCAAAAATATGGCTTATCAAATAATGCATCTGAGATATCAGTGATAGTCACTAAGGAACCAATGGTTCATCACTCGTTTTTGTCTCACTAACATTTACGTTCTTCATTTAATGTTGATCATATTTCTAAAAATAATCCGAAAATTCAGCGAATTCCAACCGATGCATCGTTCACTAATGCTTAGCAAATGTCTAGTAATGGTGTAATGAATGAAGACAGAAGAACAGATGTTACAAGTAGTTTATTTGAAGAGGACAGTTTACTGGCCTAAACGCGTATACCTAATCTTTAAACATCCATTTGGAAAACAATCAAATTCTTGGCTGTCTTAAAAAAAATTAACCGCTCTATACAACAGGATCAGACTCTTCGCTTCTGCAGTAACTGCAAGGCCACGTTCCGATGCCTTTCCACTACATTACCTACTTACACCTGTTAACCACAATGGAGCATAGGCCATAGACCAGTATTCTTCAACCTATCTGTCCTAGTCCTCCCTTTCACTTCCTGTCCAACTTTGTGGATTCTCATGTCTGTCTCCATTTTTTGGCGTAATGTGTTTCTTAGCCTTTATCTTCCCCTTTGACCTCGAGGGTTCTAAGTGAGGGCTGGTCTTGTGACACAGTTGGGTGCTTTCCACAGCCTGTCCTATCCACTTTCACCGCTTCTTCCTGATTTCCTCCTCCACTGGAATCTGGTTTGTTCTATTCCCACAGTAGGTTGTTGCTGATGGTCTGGCCAAAGAATCCGACGTATTTTGTGTGTATCTTCTGTATGATGGCTTTCGTAGTTCTCCAAGTTTCCGCTCCATACAGTAGAACTGTCTTGACATTTGTATTGAAAATTCTGACTTTGGTGTTTGTTGATAATTGTTTGGCATTCCAGGTGTTCTTCAGTTGTAGGAATGCAACTCTTGCTTTCCCGATCCGCGCCCTCACATCTGCATCGGACCCACCTTGATTGTCAATTATGCTGCCCAGATACGTAAAGGTTCCTACGTTCTCCAAGGTATCTCCATCAAGTGCGATTTGGTTGGCGCGTGTACGTGCTAGAGTGCATATATTAGCAGGAGGGTTTCTGTTGATAACTGCAATAAATGAAGCTGAAATATGGTCCTCACGGTTTGACAGTCTATCATCTGCTTAGTAGTGAACATAATTTTAGTATTTCAAAATGATTAGCAAAAAACGAATTAGCCATTCTCATTGTGAAAATTAGTACACATGCACAAACATATAAATTAGATCGTCATCAAAATTTAATGAACAAGAATTTGTTTATGAAAATATCAAATCAAAATAGTTTATGAGCCATCGATCACATTAAAACAGGTTGCACAACAACACAATAAGTAAAAAGTACAGATTGATGGTAAGAAGGCAGGTGTAATAACAACAGATCTAATCAATAGGTGAACATAGGATATATGGAATTAAAATAATGATTAAAAAACTATTGGGATTACGTAATATGTGTGCGAACAATTAGATAGGGAAGAATGTAAACGAAAAGAGGCGACAGATGACGGGATATGAAAGGAAGGTAATGATAAGTCAGTCACTCAGATGCAACGTAGAACTTCGTACGTAAGTACATCAGTTCATGTCGCCATACCACATCAGCACAGAGGTGTAATTGTCAATTCAAATCCAATTGTAGGAGAGGTATTAAAGGTATTAGAAGTAATCGGAGAGGTTAGGATTAGAAGATATTATTCCAGAAGTATGATTCAGTGAGAAAAGTTTAGAGAGTCAAGACTAGAAGTGTTGAAGAATCAAGAAGATTAGGATTTGAGAGAACACAAAGAATAAATGCACCGGCGCCATTGCGATCGATTTTGAGCCATGTCACTCAAGGTCTCTAACCATCAATTATTATCATCTCGCGGACCCCAACCAGGTAGTCGACAATTACCGACATGGCTAAGTCCACTCGTCAATGACTTCATGGATTTCTGCCATGTTTTGGTTTGGCCGCCCCTAACTTTCTTCCAACCTATTCCTACACTACAAAACAAAGCTCGACGAGGCAGTCGGTGGTTGGGCATACGCAACACATGTCCCAACCACCTCAACTGACGAAGTTTCATTACTTCATCTATTGATCTGCCATCCTTACCTAGCACCCGATTCCTAATAACAGCGTTGCTCACTCGGGTGTCCCACGATATACGAGCAATGCTTCGAAGACACCTATGATCGAAAACCAATAACCGATGAATATATTCTACTCTCTCTGGCCATGTTTCACAGCCATAAAGTAAGACGGAGCCAACTACTGCACAGTACACTCGTCCTTTAGTCAGCAAACGGATATCTCGCCTACGCCATAAGTGACGCAGGTTGGCAAAAGCCAATCGAGCCTTCTGTATGCGAGCTGAGATTTGGTCAGTCACCACGCCACCGGCACTGATCAGACTCCCCGGATAAGTGAAGCGGTCTACACGCTCGACTACTTCACTCCCTATCACTAGTTCAGGTGCCGATGCAACCCAGTCTTGAAGCAACG